CAAGCCTTCAGAAATGGAACCCCACAATGGGAGGAATGCAACCAGAAGGTGCGTTGGGCAGGACATATCTCAAGGATGAAGGACCACCGCCTCCCTAAAATCGTGCTTTATGGTGAACTTGCCAGTGGCTGCCACAAGAGAGGAGCCCCGAAAAGGAGATACAAGGACTCCCTGAAAAAACATCTCAGCCTTGGCCATATTGATCTTCATCACTGGTCTACTCTGGCCTCCAATTGGGAGGCCTTGAGACACACTATCTATAACACTGCTGATTCTTTTGAGAACACACGCAGGATCACTCTCGAGGAGAAAAGACAATGCAGAAAGAGTCGTGTCTTGCCGATACCATCCAAGGAGTCTTTCTGCTGTGCCTTTTGCAACCGGACTTGTCTATCTCACATTGGCCTCTTTAGCCACCAGTGAGCCTGTAGCAAATGTGGGTAGAGCCCTTCCCAAATCTTCGTTCATGAAGCCTAGCCATGATGATGATGATGATGTAGTTCACTGCCAACACATTTACAGATTTGTGCATCAATACTTAATAGCATCAAGCTTTCTCACAGAGAGCACAGTGACAAAAAATAAGCAGATATTTTTGTTTAATCATTTAATGTTTTATTTACACAGTAAGAATTTTAGTTTTAAATATTTAACTTGTTTCTGGATTCTCTAAACTGATGTGGTCTTTATTCTGTCCCTACGTTTGTTTTACATTTCCCTGGTTGAATACCATTGTTAGAAGTCTCACCTTCAAAATAATTTATTTCATGTACCATTCAAGAGAAAGATTAGTTTTAAAGTTGTGCGTTTGGTTTGTTTAAGTATTAAAGAGTTAAAGTGCATCTTTGAAATAAAAACATGGTTTTGGAAGTTAAAGTAGTAACATCACACAAGCAGCCCTGAGGCAGTAAAGCACCAGACCGCTGGTGCATGAATCACATGCATACCTGGAGCTGTCAAAATTAATGCTAGTGACAGCTGACACTCCTAAAAATATTCTGTTTAAAAAATCTCTTAGTAGATGAGACTGAAATTTTTGTTCAGGCTATAGAGTGTTCAGGCTGGTCTCTGTCGTTGACAAAGCCTGGACAATTCTGAATGCAAGATTTAACCATGAAAAATTAAATTAAATCAGACTCTGCTAGTTGGTGGTTATGAAAAGTTTCGGACTGTTAGAAATTAGTCATTTTGATACAGAACTACCTTCTCCCAGACAGCTCTTCGTATGACATGAAGGAACTCCTAATGAACTGTGTGTCTCTACTTTTCACGTTTTCCAGATGCAATAGTACCATAATACCACATAAAAATCTGCATCAAGCTGGCTCACCCACTCTTCTCACAGGCAGCTGCTTGTGTGCTAGGGAGGTAGGTACAGAAGGAGGCAATGAAACCACTGTAATCTTGACTCAGACAAGCATGTTTGGTGAGAAGGCAGCTTAGGACTCTTTCTACCTATATGTCTACTCTGTCAAAATGTTTAATTTTCATGATCTCCCTTTATGAATTAAAATTTTGCCATGTTATGTTCTCATAAATTTACTCCATAATAGAATGACTTACATAGGAGCTCATATTTGTGTGTCAGTTGCACAGGATTAGTACTTAAAGGTAAGTTTTTCTGTCAGCAAAGTATTTACTGAAAAAAAATAAGAATGAAATAAATGGGTAGTAAACGTGTAAAAAACACACCTCATAAAAAATTATTCATTTGGATAAATAAAGTTCAAAAAGTGTCTTCCACTGTCCATAAAACCACATATTTAAGTAGGCCAATTTCTAGTAGTAAATAAGTCAGTGGAGGTTAGCTACAAATCTTGTGTATTCACAGAGGCAGGGGAAAAATTAAAGATAAAATTTTGAAGGTTTTACAAGGGCTCTCTTAGTGGTGGCTACTACACCACATACAGAAAAGGAAACAGTGTAGATGATTCCTGAGATTCCGTCTTGTATCAGTGAATAGTGTAATGGGTACCTTTTTCTTTTTGTTGAAGATAATTTTGTTAAAGATAATGTGGACCTCTCTGAAGAGGAGTACAGTGACACAGTGCAGGCTGAGGAAACCTATCGTGATTGAGATAAGCATTGTGCTTTGCTGAGTGTAATGTTTAGGCTCCTAGGGTGCTTTCTTATGGAGCTGGACCACTCCTTAGAGTTAATGGCACCCTTTTGGTGTTGTTTTTTTTTTTTTAAAGGCGTCATAAAATCATTAATGTTGGAAAGGACCTCTAAGATCATCGAGTTCAATTGTAGGCTCCAGTTTGTTTGCCGAGGTCTAGAGAGAAACATAATGAAACATAACCTTTCTGTCATCAAATCAGCAAAATACAAGGTATGAAACAAAATGTTTATCAGACTGCAAGGTATCTTTAGCTGTATAGAGAGGACTATTTCTTTAATACCATGGCTAATTTACATGTAAATAGCTCCACAATTGTATTTCTCAATTATATTGAAATTATTATTATTATGACATTCAGCATGGACTACTAACTTCATATTTAACACCTCCTTAAATGTTAACAGAGAGATAACAATGGAGCACGGAAGAGTACGTACATCAAGAAAAGAAAGCTGAAGCAGTAGAAACCTTAATGCTTTTCCTATTGTACATTAGATGTCATAAGGAGAGACTAACAAAACTATGTTTTGGGTTTTTTTCTGACATGGGACTGGTGCATGTGAACTGGGAATGCTCCGCTCCTCTACCTCCTTACTGCTCTATCAGCTGTGATTTCTCCCTCACAGAGGCTTATGCTTTTTAAAGATCGCTACCAATACAGTGGATAATAAGGGCCAAAGATTCTTTTATGTAAGAGTCAGCTCTCTAACAGACACAGTGCTCAGTAATATATGATATGTCCATAGTAAGAGTTCTAAAGTGGGTGTTCATATGTCTATGCATGGGACTTATTTAAACTCCAAATACAATGTTCACATGACACTTTTCTTTCATCACACTCCTACAAGGTCTTTCTTGGTTCTTGAATATAGGTAATTGTGGACAGCGTTGCTTGGTTCACTTATTTGCCTGTCAGACATTTTTCTCTTCCAAGGGCAACACACCTCCAATGTTGCTCTAATTTTGCAAGTCTCATTCTTGCTGCCACCACAGTGTGCTCCTTGGTCCCAAGCATACATGCAATACGTAGTTCAGAGTAAATGTAGAATCCATATTACTGGAGTTACCAACATGCTAGGAGCCCATAGGTAGGACCTCGACAGTTTGTACCATTTGTCAAGGTTTGATGATCAACGATCATTGTTTCATTTGCAGCAGTAGGATTCGTGCTATATGGATCATGTTGTATTACAAAACTTCTTAATAGTACATGAAGAGGTACTCATAAGGTACATGAAAAAGTAAGGGATTTTTCTGTGCTGACAGTGAAAGGATCATGGCCAGTGATCCTGCAGGATCATGCAGTGCTTTGTTTAACAACTTGAATGCTTGTCAGGGTTTGTCATATTGCTCTTTATGTCCAGACATATCTTGGATTGGTCATATTGATAATTTGTAATTGTCAAGTTATTATTTAGTCATAATATTATTTTCCACATGGAACTATAAGTAGTATGAGAATATAAACTAAAAAAATATAACAAACCCTCTCATTGCTGCTGCCTATTCCAGCTTTCTTCCTTCTAAAAGATCCTCTGGAATAATAATTTTTCTTGGCAGAGTTGATACTTCTATTCTGCTTCCATTGAGGACAACTTTATGATATTTTGGTTAATACTTTTGCCAAATCTCACTGCATTGCCTCCTAGTAATGTGTAAAAGCAACTATGGTCTTCCTCTTGCATGGACAATTTATTATACTGTGTATGTATCCTCTCTGTTGCTGTTCTTTGAGGATTGCTTCACAAGGTGAATTTTCAGCAGTTAAATCACCTAATACTCAGTTCTGTTTATGAGTTCATTATGCCTGTCCAATTTTTCATGCAACATTTTATTGACTGAGTCAGCTTATGTTGTGCTTCGAGATCTTTTACTTTTGTTTCCAGAGCACTATATTCATCAAGGCCCTGTTTTTCCGTCAGCATAATAAGGGTTATAATTCATTCCTTAAGACCTTCTACTAGGTTCACAGGAAACTATTATTTCCAAATTTTCAAAGAGTCTTTTTTTGCTACTTTAGTTTAAAGTGGACTTTTCCTAATAAGGAGTTATTTAAACCTTACTTGGAAGACAAAATTAACACCAAGAGAACTGGAGCATGACTTGAATGAAAAGACAGAGAGCAGAAGGACCAGGAATTCAAAAACAATCTGATAGCAAACATATGATAAAGGGGCTGGAGAAGCACAGTTCATCTATTAAAGTCCTTCATGTTAAATCTTACAAAATTATGATCAGATCTTACAGTGAGATCTATCAGAATCTCAAGGTGATCCTTAGCTTTGCTTTCATTCCTCATCAGACTCCTTGTACTTCTGTTACTGCTTCTGTTACTGCTCCCTTCTTTTCTCACTTTTTTTCTTTCACTTATCTTTTGTGTCCCAGATGGAATAGTCTACCCTGCTTCCCCACAATCCTTTTGGCTGCCAAGTTCTCACATCTTTTCAAATACCTCCCTAAAACCTTATTTCATCAGGGAATTTTCACTCTTTATCCAAGCCAGATGGCTTTCTTGCTCTCAATATTTTCTCCATATATTCTTTTGTCCGTCTTAAGACCTGGATACCTAGTAGTCAAGGAGTATCAGTAATTTTCTTTCTTGAGATAGAATGAGAATTCCTTACAACTTCACTATTTTGACTGAAATAGCCTAAGGCTCTCTCTGTCCCTCTGTTGCTATTCAAAAGCTTACCCTCTTCTTTAAAAAATATATTGTGTCAGGGGCAGGGGAAGGGTAGGGATCACCTCACTGATGGCAAGACAACGACTTTAAGGACTCCAAGTTTCTAGGACTTGCTTTTCTATATAGTGTAAAATTCCTTGAAACAGACAATTTTCCAATAGGATTGCAATATCTTCTCCTTTGTCCTACTTTCATGAAAATTAAAGGTGTGCCTTCAATAGTGCTAAAGGGATTTTCACTAGAAAAAATAGTCCCACTGAAATCTGTGGAGATCTTCCTCTACATTGTTTACCTAGACAACCACTGCCTTAAAGAACTACATGAAAAAATATAATTGTTTCAATCTAAACACAATAGTAACTGCTGCTGCTATGTCCTGGTTAGAACGGCTGGGACCAATTCATCCCTGGATGGGTGTAACCCAAAACTGTGTATTCTATGGCCTTCCATGGCATTTCCCAAAAACTGCTGTCAGTAGAGGCCTGCAAGGTGGGAAGATGTTCCTGTACCCTTTTATGGAATTCCCCGCTCTGATATCCTTATATGGAATTCCCTGCTCTAATACCCTTTTATGGAAGAGGGACTGAGCATCTGCATGCCCTTTTATGGAATTCCCTACTCTGAGGGAGGGACTGAGCACTCCCGCCTGAACTGGAGAGTATATAACTGGGAGTTTCAGAGCCTTGGGACTCTCTCTCGTGGGACCCAGAGGAAGACAGCAGACCACCGCTGCTCCCAACCAGGCTGAGACCACCACCCTCGACTGGACTGCAATCACCACTTCTGACCAGACTGCAGCAGCTCTCCCACCAGCAGGTTTATTCCCTCTCCCTTTGCTTTGGACTCGGGGGGGTGGGCCAAGGTACACCACTTTTGTTCATACCCCAGGGTGCTGGGTTTGTACATTTGGGTTTTGTGGGTTAAAACCAATTGTCTGTCTGTATAATTGTACTTATTGCATTATTTTAATAAATTGTTATTCTGACTTATAAATCTCTCTTTTGAATTGAGTTCATTTTGCCTTGCTGGTTAACTTTTAAACCAGCACATGCTATTAGTAGTCCATTTTCAGGGGCTTTGAAAAGCCATGCAACACGTTCATTTCTCTTGTTAAAATTCTTTATTGGTGAAATACTGGCTACAACTTCACTAACACTTTAAGCAATTTTCATAAAAAGATCAACTAATACTCTTGTGTTTCATCCCAGTAAATTTCAATGGTACTGCTTTGGCATGTAGCTGCGGTAACACGATAGTGATTCAAGCCCAGAAAGAAAGGACCTCCTTAATTACCTGTGTAATATTTGCAGAGTTTAAGTCTTCATTTATTACTGTCCAGATCACAAGTCACCATACTCATGTGCAGATGTAAGAAAGACATATAGCAGATATTTCGCCATCAGATGGAGACTTTAATACTATGAACGTAATTACAAAGACTTAATTTTGAAAGAACAATTCTTGTGCTCACAGAGAGATTGTATTATTACTAGTAGTGTGTGCATTGTGGAGAGAAATCCCCTCCTGACCTCGAATCTGAGTCAATAAACTGGCAGTTGAGGAACAAATGGGACCATATTCTGATTTTTTTTCTGGTTTGGTCACTGTCATGCACTGTGAACTAATGTGCTCTTGTAAGGGATGCCAAAGGGTGTATCTCTTTACACTGGCATCTCTTGTGAACAACTTCAGTGTGTCATCAGATTGATCCAAAGCTCAAGGCATTTGAAAAAATGGGAACTTAGAAGTGCCTACTAGATGTTACATTTTGATCATACTGAAACATTAAAATTGACAAAACAAGACCATTGAAAGCTTTCTTTTACCTGTCAAGACTGTCAAAGAGAAACTGAACCATACTATTTACAATGTTGCTGAAAACAGTATTAAAATAGTTTAGACATTCTAAACAGAATGTATATATGCATGCAAAGGTCGAGTTGGTCCCTCTCCTATACTCCTCTATTATGCTGGGTTTTCCCTTTTTTTGCGTTATATTTCAGTCATTCTTTGCTTGGGCTTGCAGTTGCAGGCAGCATAGGTAGGGCAGGATTTGCAGTCCTGTGCTGCCAAAGGATGCTGGGAAGACAAGAGAACCAAGGACCCACATAGCACGCATTCAGAGGGGAGTGGCTTCAGACTAGCTCTAGTGCGCTTTTAAGAGATGAATGGTTAGTGGATGGATCATACCAGACACAGGCCAAGTGTGTGCCTTCTGGCTTAGTGTTCTGTGTGTTCATATTCTTCCAATTATAATACTGACAAAATATTA